ATGTCTTCCACCTTTGAATGTGAATTCAAGCTACTTGCTGACATAGTTGGAGTGTGACGAGCTATCTATTATCTTGAGCATTGATCTTGGCGATGTTGGAATAAGCAATTATCATACTTTACAGCTTGGCTAATGGCTTCATTAAGCGTTCACGGATTGGAAAGAGATTATAACAAATCCTTCAAGTCGTCCCTCAAGTCCCAATAAAATTGACTCATCAATACTTCCTTGTCCTAATTTATGTCGTACGCTAATTATCTAAAATCTGATGCGTAGATTGATGCAGAGCATACCTCTTCTCATAGCGACTAGATCTTTGTTGTACCCCATCGTGCCTTGTCATATTTGCCAAATGCTTCTGCAAATGCCTCCAAAAAAGTTTTGAATTTGTTCAAAATTGACGATCCTTTTTCAAACAAAGGAACAAACCATGATAGAGCTTGCCCCATGAGCAAAGTTCCAACCAGTCCAACACGCAATTCCTTTGTCGATTAGCAATCGGGTTGTAAATTTGTTATCAATCTAATTTGATCGATAAAACCTCAAAACTTAGAATGCATACCATCAAACTTGTCTGAAAGGCTAATTCGGGACTCATTTCATTGTAAGATCAACGGTCCTTATTGAACTAGAGGCAAAGCTGCTTCTCTTGGTGCTAAAGCTTGAGACTGGTGAATCCTCGATTATGCAATCTCGGATGCTCCATTATTATGAAGTCTTACAATGATTCCTTCAATCTCTATAGTTCTCTGTGATAACGTAGCAAGAACATTCATAATGGCATCCAACTTGAACTCCGAACTTTCAGTCATACTAATATCTTGATTTAGGAGAAAGAAAGAAATGTCTCTACAAGAAGGCATTATTGGTTTAGAGGAGGGTACTCCACAACCTCTAAAACACCTTAAAGAAGAGGGATAATCCACTCTCTCCAAGAAAGATAAGACTTCAATATTATAATAGAAGAAATATCAGTTTAGAAGAGGGTAATCCACAACCTCTAAACTACCAGTACCTTCAAGCAGAGGGATAATCCACACTCTAACAAGAAGGAATTAGCTCTGATATGAAAGATGAGTGCAGTCTTGACAAATTGTCATGAATTTAGAATATTGACTGGAAATCTAAAGGAGAACGTCAAGAAGAATCGGCAAGAACTAGATTAATTAGATGAGTGCAAGAACAATACTAGAGAGGTGAGCTAGAGCTCCAAGAGGTGTGTTGTCAAGACTAAGAATCTCCTCAGTCTCGGCTCCTATATATACTACAAGCTAGGAAGCTTCTCAAGTAGCTTCCACAAACTACGAAGCTTCTTAAGCAGCTTCTACGAGTTAGGAAGCTTCTCAAGCAGCTTTCATGAGCTTGAAAACTTCTCAAGTAGCTTCTACAAACCACAAAGCTTCTCTAGAACCTTCTAGAATCTTCTACAACTTCCTAATGTATATCCTTAACACCACGACACTTTGACATGACAAAAGAACTAGGTACAATTATAATTTTTTATATATATTACATTTAGATGTCTATAGAATAAAATTTTAAAAATTTATTCATATGCGGCAATTAATTTTTTAAAAAAAATTAAAGGCCAATCAAGATATTAAAAATTTAATAAGTCTTAAGTTTTGTCTAGCATTAAAAATTTTAAATGGATGAAAAATTAAAATTAAAATAATATATAAAAATAAATTTATATTCATAAATAATAATAAGTTTTTTATAAGATATTAATTTTGATTAGATACTTCAAGAATCTTATATTTTAATGACAAACTCTCTTAAATCCTTACTTAAAGATTAAAAAATCTCAAAGAAGCCTCTAACACAATAATTGAAGGATTTACCAAAGTAGTAAAGGTTGCTAAAATCTCATATTCTAAAGTAGAAAAAAAAAAAAAAAAAAAAAAAAAAAAAAAAAAAAAGAGACAAGAAAATTATTTTTCAAGTTGGTCAATAAGATCTTAATCCACTTTCTTCTATATAAGACACAAGTTCTAATTTAATGATCTACTTTTAAAAATTGGCGAACAACTCCTTAAAAAATCCAACTTTTATAGGATCTTATAACAACAAAATGACAAAACTTACTAAAATCAAAAAACAAATTTCATTGACAAGGCATGTGATTTAAACTTATGGCTCAAGAAGAAAATTTGCAAATATGGCTCATATAGCTCAAGGAAGTGGTAGTCAACATATGGCTTGTTCAAGCAAGCAATGACAATTTTCTTTACTTTATACTTTGCTCCCTTAAAACACATGAGACTATTTTATACAAAATTTGGGAGTACAAACAAGCACAAAGAGTATAGTATTAAGCAACCTTCTTTCTATAAAAAAATCCTATCTAGAAAAATATATACCTTAAAAAGTCTTCATATGGAAGAAAGCAATCCTATAAAATTTTAAATTTTAAATAAATAAAAATACCATAAGACTTAGATGGCTAAAAAAACTATAGATATACAAAAAGAAATGTAAATTCTCTAAAATACCAAATTTTTCCGATGACTTTATTATCCACTCAAATGCTGAAAACTAAAAAATTTGAGATCAAATAATCTTATATCATAGTTTACACTCATACACCTATTCTCCAAAAAGTATTAAGGCTTAAGCAATCATGTTGTTTTTTTATTTTTATTTTTTATCATTGCAATGGATACATCCCAATTGTATCAAATATATATATATATATATATATATATATATATATATGTTTAGTATAGTAATATAATAGTTGGCTCATTTCTCAATTCTATTAATTATTAAAAAAATCATTAAAAAATAAATTTTTATCTTTCATTTGTTATGTTTAGTAATTTTTTTATAGAACTACTTGAATTATAATAAAGTCACTTTTTGAAATAAATTTATTACAAATTTTAGAAGATAAAATTTTTAATACTATGTAGAAAATTTTTTAGAATGATTATTCTAAGTATAAAGCCAATTAAGTGGAGCTTCTTGATTTCAACCAATCAAAAGATTTAAAAATTGTAACCTCTCACCTTCTTTTCTAAATATAAAGACCCTCTTAGTATCATATTTGTTTTTATATATTAAAAGGTGGAACAATTATAAAGAATTTGGGGAATTAAATTTGCATTAAAGATCAGATGTAGCTTATAAATAAAATTCAAATTAATTTGTACAATAAATCGAATAATTTTTAAAACAGAATATTTTTATTTTTTTGGTATTTGACTTACGTAAAATACAAGATTTTCCTTTGATTATTTATTAGTGCATTTTAGTTTTAACTGACCAATAATTAAATAAAATTATTTAAGTAGCTCCTATTATATTTTAAATTATTTCTTCTAATTAGATGAAATGAGCAACACTAATTTATTTCATTAAATCAAGTTCTTTTATGATTTTAAAAATAATTAATAATAATAATAATAATAATTAATTAATAAAAAATAAAAAATAAAAATTATTGATAAAATTGTACATCAATTATAGATAAGAATGAAAAAAAAATAAATGAAAAGCACATAATAGTTTTAAATATAAAAATAGAAATTTTATAAAATAAAAGATTCTTTGAAATCAGTTGCAATATATACATAAACAAAATATAATATTTAAAGAAATAATATGTTGTCAAATAAAAATTGAAAGTTAATATAATGAGTAGTTTCATTTAAAATAAATATATATATATATATATATATATATATATGTAGATTAATTATTTAATTTTTTTCTATAAAATCTATATATATATAAATGAGTTAATCATAATAAATATGCTTTTCATATTATGATGGATATTTCATACTGATTTTATAACAAAACTATAGAAAATTTTATAATTTAAACTTATGTGTAGCAAAATGTGATTTGGTACTTATTTTTAAATCTGATTTAATATTTTTACATTTACACAAAAATTCATATTAGCTATTTATTACAAAAATTATCATTATAATTTGATTTAACATTTTTTCTTCAAATACAAAAAAATTAATACAACTGTAATATAAAATTGTTTGTCTTCTATTCAAAAAATTTAAAGTAGATTGTATTAGTTGAAATGCATCTTTCCAATCTTTGTAAAATAATAATGATGCCAAGGACACTAATCTTTGGTTATTTATCAAAGTCTTTATTTTATCAATCAAGATTGTTATAACTACAAAAAAGTAGACCATACTAATATTACGAAAATAGGAGTGAACTGTTGACAAGCTCTAAATTACAATCTAGAATTACTATCTCAAACTAAAAGATCTACATCAATAAAATTTGCATTGGAATGAGTTCGATCAATTTGACAAGAACTCAGCACTACATTGTCTGGACTAGACATACACCCAATGTGAAAACAAAGATGCACATGTATTGATTATAATATATCTCGTTAAGGCTTGTCCAACAAACCACATGGCAACCATCCACATTTTGTTTAACAAGTCGGCAGAGAAGAAGCACCTCACCCCTTTCAATGCCCACCAACTACTGAACTTATTAGCCTTCCCGAACAGTCAGGTTCCTGCATCCCAACCTCCTTCAGACTCAGTCTAAGTGAGCACAAAATGGCGCTTGTACCAACCTCTGTACAATATTACATCGCAGACGGTTAGGTTCTCCTGTGACACACAAACGTTTGCTGTCGGTGGATTTCGATCAGGTTTACCATGCAGTACACTCAAACTCTAAATTGTAACGTTCTGACAGTATAATCACTTCTGGCGTCTGGCACGCAGCCACAAAATTGTGCCAGGTGTTGAAAGTCATAGAGCCAATGGGGACACAGATATGATCAGTGTCGAACGGACATTAGAAAAGCTGATATGATTGACCTTCTCCAGTCCATTTTCGAAACTTTCAATTAGGGACTAAAGTAATAAGTTTAGATGATGAATCACCCATTTTGCCTAGATCTGGGAGCACAGGAACAAACTTGAGGCTTGTGTGCAATTCTGACACACCATTCATGTGAGAAACGAGGCCAAAGGAGAACAGATTGCATCGCATGGTGGGCATGGTGGCGTTTAAATCCAACAAGTTCATTACAGCGTCCTTCATGTAGAACCTAACACAAAATCCTTACAATCCTTAAATGTTTAATAACAGAATACAGCACAGAAAAGAATGTGCCTCGAGTCAATAACAGAACTGGCATTGAAGAGGCTGATTGTGCAACCTCGGCCACAGAATTGCAAAATATCTTTCTTAACATATTTGTTAGCTATAATGGTCAGATTGACCTCCTGGAACTAAAAACTGACCTAAAAACTGACCCAGAGAAAGAGGTAAAAAAGAGGCGTGAACATTCTTGAGAGAATACATACTTGATCTTTAAAAGTCAGGAAATCTCTTCCCATGAAATGAAAACTTGTAAATAGCCCCTAATATAGAACCAATTCTTCGATAAGGTTTTTTCATACAAGTGAATACCACCTTCGAATTCGGAATGATCAAACAGCGGTAATTAACCTCGCACTGAAATGCATATATTACAACAAATGCAGCATGCAACGATGGAAAAATGAAAATGGAAAATGAAAACATGAGATAGTAACCTAACTTAAAAACAACTAATTAAACGCTCCTCTTTTCTCCAACAAACAGACCATCCCTTACGGAATTGATTGAAATGACTCACCTTGACCACGTCGCTGGCACCTCAAATTGTTCTTCAGTAGGCCCATTGATGTATGTGGAACAATTTTGCCAGGTGTGAAAACTGTGTACCCAATCCTACGCAACTACCTGACTTTTCAGAGCACACGTGTAACATGATTATTGTGGTAGTTTTCACACACAATAATATGAACATCAAAAATAAATAAATCCCTAGAAACAAATCTCGAACCTTGGTCTTAGACCATAGGACAACTTTTAAGCGTCAGCAATACCGTCTTTCGTCCCAATCTTCAAGTGCAGAGACCATGTGCCTGCGTGAACTTTCCTGCTACAGTTTACACGAGGTCACCAAACGGTAGAAGAAAAAGATGCAATGCACGACATGATGTAAATACCTCCAGCAAGCACAAAGAATCAAATGAACAGCTTAATAAAACTCAAATTCGATGAGTGGTAGAAGTGAGTTACTGATTAATCAAAATGGACTATATCAACTTACACTAGCAACATATGGAAGATGGTTTTTATAACTTCCATTTGTACAACGAGAGTGTTCGAGAAGTGTTGAACGAACAATAACTACATCGACTCCGTACACCTTAGAGAATTACAGCCCTCTGATCACCTCAAACTGTACAATAAAGATTCAAACAAAAACATACCTGGTAAAAAAGAATCAGTAATGGATTGTGCATTCAGGCACATATCAGACTGTAATTCCACAAAAAGCCTCTCAGACGGACAGGGCTGACGGTACATTCCGTACACAGGAGCAGGCGCCGTCCTACAACACAGACAAAATATCACCCCATAAATGCAACTCTTCAATTACGACAAATTTTTACTACCCCTTAAACCATTAGATCCAGCAAATTCTGTTGCCACAAAAATTACTAATTTCAGCAGTACATTGTTAGAAACTACGTACACGACAAAAGTGCCAAAACACCAACTCGTGCCCAAATAAACAAAATACACTACAGATTATGAAATGCACGAAATTAACAATTTGGATGATTCTCCGACCCCAATGTCTGTACAAAACACTCAGTACCTGGCAAGCCATGGTAAAATCCGGAACGGCCACCAAATACGAGTCTCCCAACAAAGGGACAAACGGAATGATACGTGGACATCATTACAGCTGAACAAACCCTGTAACATTTTCGCTGGGAAACCACAAAACACACACACACACACACATCACAGACCACTACCAATTCCCACAGGCAACGAGACTTTACACGTCCAAACAACCTGGTACAACAATGTATCTACAGTATGTGTACGATCAGGAAGCAACTTTGAAGTTGAAATTGAAAAAGAAAAAAGAAAAAAGAAAAAAAAAAAAAAAAAAAAAAAAAAAAAAAAAAAAACGTTGGGCGCGAACAGAAATGCATACCACTTAGTACAACACAAACCCTCATCATTGGATGGCTAGAGTGAATGATAAGCAGACTGTACAAGTACATAAGACAGAAACTCCATATTGATGGATGCACCATTGTACGCAAAAGACCATCAAATAGCTCAACAGCATAACGCTGTTAATACGGCGAAGGTAGTTAGGGAAGCAACTACGACACCTTCGCAAAACTGTGGTTAGTCTAACAGACATACCCGTCTTGTTAAAATAACTGATACACTCCGTCTGCCCCGCTTGCGTAAACCAGCTTTAATGTAACATCAAGGGAACATCTATAATCTTAACATCTTACACTAAGAAGAAAATATGTGAATAGACGGCTATCAAGGAACACAGCTGACAAGCAGGCCGGCACGAAGTCCACATTCGGACAAAGACAAACACGATTATGGGCACGCCTGTCACAAAAAGAAAAAAGAAAAAAGAAAAATCTGACTCGAACATTCGCACGAAATGATATCTTAGAAACTGCAAAATGGATACTCAAAATTGAACTTCCTAAGTTGGCCATAAATGGTACATTTCACAGGGGTACTAGCTTGCACCACAAAGTAAAATAAAGCAAACAAGCTTGCTTGACTTGGGAAAAGCAGTTTTCCCCACCTGCAAGTATGATTTGTGTTGGCGTCCGCTCAGCGGTTCAATTAGAGCGCCAGTCCTACTATTTTCCCCGCATGCAATGTCTAATGTGCATCCCTAATCTTTGCGGCAGCGAACCCCTGTTTCCCAATATTTTTCAATAGGGTTTACTTTGTTTAGTATCTCGTTTGAGCTGAACCTTTAACCTTTTCCCACTCAACTGGAACCCATTCATTACATTTATAGCTGCTTGGGCTGCATCCGGAGTGTCGTAACTTACAAAACCTGCACCACGCACCAACAATATGTCATTTCTACTCGAGAACAGGACTCGAGTTTTACAGGATTGTTTTTTTTAAAAGGAAAAAGATAAAAATAAAAATTGCATTTGCGGAAGGTCTAAGAAACGCGACAATTACCATAACAAAGGTACCAAATTGTGTCTATGAAATGAAGGTAATTTAATGAAAACGATTCAAAACAGAGTTCTATTGTAATCTATATATAGTAATGAAACATGTGCAGTGTCAGGAAAAAAAATCCGAGAAGTATATGAAATTAGGCCACGGATACTAAGTAAAGTAACGATCATCATTTGAATGTTTTGAAGCATGTATAAAAGACATTTAGAAAAACATTAAAAATTATTAACGAAATAAATAAATAAATAACTATTGGGCAACGTACCAAAGCACTTGCTGGCTCCAGTTGTCTTGTCTACAAAAACTTTGGCACTAATGACATTTCCAAAAGATGAAAAGGCAGTAGATAGCTCATCATCACCAAATTCAGGTGGTATGTGGTAAATAAATAAGTTAGCACCCGCTGGACCTGCATAAAACCAGAATCACCAAGATTATAAATTAAGACAACTTCAGAATTTAAATTAAGTAAAGTTGTTGCAAATAAAAAAACTTTAATAAAAATAAAACTCGCTCGTCATAAGCATTTCAAAGATGAGGCAAGCTTGGGCCATGAACCAGCAAATCAGGCTGTACAATTACACTTCAATCATTTGCAGATGTAAAAATGTAGACGATAATAATGGTACAACGAAGATTCATCCCACAAAGAGAAATTATAAGTTCCTTTTGAATGATTGCAAAGTGTACAAATACTGAAAAGAATTTGCAGAGAATATACTGCGCCTGGAAAAACTGCAAGAAATAATATTTAGCTGAAGATCTTATACCTTCGGTTTGGGGGCCCACACTAGTTCTCACAGCTGCAGCAGCTGCTTGCGCATTATTCATCCCAATTAAAGGAGCTATTGGAGAGGGATACGACTGGCCTTGATGTCCCATCATCTGGCCTTGATAAGGATTTGGGTATTGCTGCGCACCAAAAGGAAACGTTGTGGGTTGCATAGGTGCGTAGGCTGTCATATCTGATTGAGTTCCAGGAATAGCAGTAGGTAATCCGACCATGCCAGGTTGTTGCGGATATGCCATTGCATAGTTGCTCATCGGCTGCACCAAAGCCACATACATGTCATTAAGCAGCCATGCAGTCCTTAGAAAGCTTTCAACCAGAAACACTTAAAATATTTAGGAGGAGATTAACAACACATACTATGAAAGTTGAGAACACATAACTTCGAATGCAGTCAATCAACTTGCATCTCTAAGCCACAATCTGAAAGTGCTGGGTGAAATTCCCACCTGATATGAATATCCGTTGTACGGAGGTGGGGTTGTTACATACCCCATCGGTACAGCACCAAATATTGATGGTTGGTGTCCGGGAATGGGGGGAGAAGAAACCGACTGAGCCTTCTGCACTTTACGCGCCTGCCTTTCTTTCTCAGTGTCAGCCCATTTGACCACCAACGCAGACGGAGAACCCTGAATAGCGATCATCGTCAGTGCTTATTATGGACCGCTGCGATTGTTCATTTAATTATTTGCACATGAACCAGAAGAACACAGTAATCATACAAAACGCAGTACTTCTTACCAAGAGGGTAAATTAAGTCGACGAATGCAAGTATAAAACCTACGTAGTACCAACTCTTGTGCATACAAAGTATCAGATATAGAACAAATGTATACCTCCATTTTGTGTACTCCATTCAAAGCTTCAATAGCAGCAACGGCTTGTTCTTTAGTTTCATATTTTAAAAAAGCGCATCCTGTACAAACAAGTTAGTAGTTCGATCAACATTTAAAGAGAATAAATAAAAGCTAGAATAAATGCCACTACTTCCTGATGGAAAAGATCTAAAATCGACGTAGATGTAAGTGTAGGCAAATAAACATATCTAAAAAAAAATCCCAGTCTTCTCGCTGTAAAGGCCATTCCAATGCATCAAAAGTCGCAGAACGATAATATCTAAACCTAAAATAGTTACGCTTGTAGTTAGATCTGGTCAGTTTGTAAAATAAGAGACTACCAAGTTACAAACCATAGAGTTAAGTATTCCAGGAAAGGATAAGAGAACAACCACGCAGAAGAGTAACAGATCTGTCTTGATAGTATTGCAAAAGAAAACGTAAACACAGAGTGCTTACATGCAGAAAACTCAGGAGGCAAATTGCGAGACATAATCGACCAATCCACGGAGCAGAAGGAGGTGAAATTAACCTTTGCTAGTAGGTTGTGAGCCTTTAATTACAGAGAGCTCTTTGATAGTGCCATACTGCGAAAAAACTGCAGTCACGTCTGCTTTCGATGCTGCTTTAGGCAGCATACCAATAAAAAGCTTGTGCTCTGCCAATTTTAACCGAAGACAATAGTATAGAACACACCCGATTCAGTCTAGGTGATAATTGCAAACACATTTCTTTCAGATGCCAAAAGTACCAGAAAGAACACACCACATCAGCGTTGATTTGGTATAAAAACCAATCAGCCTGAAACACCGGCAGGGATGAGAATATGCCGCACAGAGAAGATTATTTCCGTAGAATCTCACTAATAACCCCATCAATAATCATCAGCAAGGTGGAATGATGTTGAACGTTAAGGGCATAAGCTAAAAGAAGCGTAGCATACCTAATCGTTCCATCTCACCATCTGCATATTTCACTTGCAGGGGGCTGGCTACCTGCTCCAGAGACGTGTCATTAAAGAAAAACTACTAAGGCTCTTCAAGGGACAAACATAATCCAGTTATTCTACAGCCAATTAAAAGGAAAGAACTCAAACCAGCAATGAACCAAACGAACTTGAACAAAGCCTCAGAATTTATAAGCGAACAAGGTACTTAACTGGTTGGAGAGTGCGCTTATTGTGGAAGATCTCAATAGCTTTATCAGCCTCCTGCCTTGTTGTGTAAGTAAGAAAACAACACCCTGTATCAGCAGCACATAGGATTATGAAGTGCACAAGCATTTCACAAAAATAAACATTACTAGCAAATTAACAAAGGAGAAAAAAAAAAACCGCGCGCGCGCGCGCGCGCAACCGTCGAAGTGCTGAACTCTCACATTACAATTTTCCAATAGGAAGCTGAATCGGAAAATGGAGACACAGATCCTGCGGAGGTGCAAATGCCGAAAACATAAAACCACGAACAGAACCCAAATTACAGTGCGTCATGTTTCGCAGAATATTGATCAGATTGACAAGAATGCCACCTCATGACTATTCGTACATGGAGTAGGCAATCACCTTCCACCAAGGAAAAGCCATGCTCCTCACAAGTTGTACAGCTCCCAGAAATTCGTTCATCATTCAGGATAGCTCCCAAAGCAATTGTGCAGGACCAATTCACTAGTTCCTAAAACGCCACTCTTACACTGGCTAAGTGATACAGCACCAGACAAGAAGGTACAGATATACATTCACACCGAAAGAGGTGCAGATCTCGTAACCATACTGCTTCTCCCTCATTGGACCTTGAAGAAAATGCGTGATACTAGGACCTCAGAAGAACGTGAATGAAAACCGGGTGCAATTTCAAATATGTGCAATATGTGTGTGTGGAAGGGGGAGGGGTTACAATAACCAGACAGGTTGAGAAATTAAGAAAGCTACTAGTGAACAGAATAATCACTGATCTAATACAGATAGTTGAATGTCCTAGGTATTAAAAAGAAGTTGTTTGTTATATCAGTCAATGTCTACACCTCAACGAAAACCAATTTAAGCAATTAGACAGCTGCCACGTGCGCCACGTTTCATTTCCATAATTTTGGTATTCGCCTGGTGCAAAAAACTAGTTCTAGGCACAACGACACTGATACTAATACTTAACATTACAATCGAGAAACAATTATAAAGAGCTTCCCACAGAACCGGCACATCCCCAATTCGCAAAGTACATGCACAAGTAACTAATCTCTATGAATTGACAAGCACGGTTAGAAAGAAAAAGTGAAAAGGCAAGAAAAATAAACAAAATAAAATATTACTTCAATTAGGCAGAAAAATCACTCACCTCGGGACAGTTTAGTAAGCTTGTCTTTAATGATATTAATTTCATTAACAGTTCCGGCTTCTGAGAAGATCTCCACTAGCTGCTGCTCAGACATCTGTTTAGGCAACTGCCCCACAAAAAGCTTTACAGAATCCACTGCCCGATTCACCCCATTTTCAATCACGCCCTCCATGGCTGCAATCATCAACACAAGACATGCCAACAGAAAGATCAGATAACATACATACACCAGAAAAGTTTTCCTAATTACACGGCGCCAGAAATGAGTTCAGTTCTTGACAGAAATAAAATCCTACAGCCTCAGAACGATTATATTTTTGCTATTACTTCAAATCGCAGCCATAACTCTAGGTGCACAAAGCTTGGCAATAGGTACACTCGAGTATTACAAAACGGTGAAACAGTTTATTGCAGAGCTAGAGATAGTAGCCTGTGGTTGTAGAATATGTATGTGAGAAGAGGCAATCATCTCGGGCTCATCAAACTTGATAGGCGAAGTGAAGCAAGGAGAGGAGAAGGCAAATAAATATAATATCTTTCTAAAAACCAAATAAAAAATAACAAAGTTTACCAACATAAATACAAACAAACCGGTACACAATTCTATCATGCTTCCATCCACCAGATTGTCGAAACCAAACCAAGTCACCTACAAGTCATTGGAGAATAAAAGATGATTCGATTCACTTCTCCTTCTCTCTATCTCTCTCTCCATCTCTCTCTCCATCTCTCTCTCTCTCTCTCTCTCCATCTCTCTCTCTCTCTCTCTCCATCTCTCTCTCTCTCTCTCTCTCTCTCTCTCTCCTCCCCTCATCCACCTCTATTTCTATGCACATTCCACGTATTCGCGACATGAGCTAAATGCCACTAAGGCGACTTCAGCAAGATTCTCGAAAAACACTAACGCACTCCCTTTAACTCCCAAAGGCAATATGCACTTGAGTTTTCGTGGTAGAATTTCAGCCTCTAGACACATATATCACCCAGATACAACACAAAAATATTTGTTCTTTTGCGATTACCTAACTGACCTTCAGCCGCTAATCATACCATGCATAAAACAGAGAAAAAAGAGATTCGTACCTTCTACTCCAGGAGCAGCTGTATACATGGAAATCATTCAAGGATAATGGGAGAACGATGAATGCTCACTTCGGAAAATATAAAATACAGAAAAACAAAAACAAAAAACAAAACAAAAACAAAAACACACGCGCGTGCGCAAATACTTTCTCCTCTGCTAAGATTATCAAATTTCAGATGGTGTGTCTATCGCCATTTTTCATTGCCCGATTAAAAAAGCTAGCAAAGAGCCAGACCTTCCATATGGTGTCTTAGAAACCAAATTAAAACTGGTGAAGCTCGTTTGGTTTATCTGACACTACGAAATATTTTTCTCTCAGCTGTTAACCTATCATCAACAAGTCTCAACACGACGAAGAGTTGATCAGATCCTTGTGCCTAGCCAAAGCAATGTCGGAGCGCCTAGATTCCACCTGCATGAGTATAAGCGAGGGCGACAGAGAGACATGCCTGGAAGAAGATGAAAGCCTCTCCCACGAGAAGGCGCAATGAGGCAAACTGGAAGCCAGCCGAAGGAGGGAAGCAAAGAAGGCGAAGAAAAAAATGACAAAGAAAAAGGCAGAATCGGCAACAGTAAAGCTAACGCAGCAGTTATGAATGAGAACCAATCGGGAGCACTACGTGCAGTGCCACTTAAGGTGGGCCCGCGAGAACGAGATGAGGAAAGGGCGGAGCTCACTCCCTCTCGCTCCTCCTCCTCCGATCCTTCGAGCTCTACGGCAACTGGAAATAGTGTCGAACAAGCCCGACAGGATTTAGGGCTTCGCTGACTCCGTCTCGCGCTCCTCCGCACCGCGACATTCCCCGGAACGCGGAGAGTGGATCTGGGGAACGCGATGGGTTTGTGCGGTTGGTGAGCCAGCGGAGGAGGGGACAGCTAAGCCGATGCTGCCCAGCTGGACTTGTCAGGCTACTACATGGGGCCTGGCCCCGCGGCCTTAGGGCTCCCCCGTAGCACTTATCACCGCATCCCCCCTTCCCCTCTGTGCTCCCACTACCCCCCCCCCTTGCCCGAATTTATAAAGCTGTGTTTTTCCATATCAACATATTTTGCACTTCGTATGCTATGTCGGGGCGAATGAGTTTTTTCTTTTCTTTTATTTTCTTTTATTTTTTTCCCTCAACGAATAATTATCTAAGCACAAATCAAAAAATTGATTATTTATGCCGTTGTTGAAAACAAGTGTCTTTGAGCACAAAAAATAATACATTTTAGCTAATTTGTACGTGTGTATGTATGTATTTGTACGTAAATAAGCTCCAGGAAAGAAGAAACATACGTAAATAGATGAATAATAAAAATGTAAACAACAAAAAGTAAATGTATTTTTAATCAAAACATTAAAAGGTTAATACTATTTATTTCTTTAATAGGACTAAATTTGAGAAACCTCCCAAACTGTTAAGCAACTACATTATGTATTCAAATTATGAATAATGCCGTTTGTTTTGTTTCAAAATTGAGTGTATGGTCCAATGCATTAGCAAAATTTAACACAAATGTTTAAGTGATATAAAAAACTTGAGCCGTTTTATAGTACATTTTATCAATTTTATTTTTTCAATATTAAAGTGAAGAAGCAACAAATAAATTAATGAAAATAATATATATAGTATGTATTTATGTTTCTAAAATAGCACATTATTCATATCTCATACGTTTTAGAATTAAGGAAAAATACAATACTTTTCACCACCAAAGAAAATGTAAGAGTTGTCAAATAAAATAAAATAATGACATTTGGTTTACAATCCACCTTCATCACTCACTAATCAGAACAAAAACAATCGAATAAAGACCACAAAAGAAATTAGAATTTCAAATACAGATTACTTTTGTTCTGACCTTGAGCAAACATGCTATAAAAAAAAACTCCGATTACGTGCAAAAAAAGATTTAGTAAAATACATACACAGCTGATATAATACAACAACTCATCATCTGACTCTCAAGAGCTTAAAAATTTTTATCTTTCTAAAGAAACGTATTTGATATATACTTCAAATGCCCTCATATTCTACAAACTATTAGAAAATAATCATACATCAGAGGATACTTACTAAAAATGGTGTTTCTTTTAGTATTTTCAAGAATACTTTTAATGATGAGACAAATAAATTAATAAATACACAACAACAAATAAGCAAGTATACAATATTGGCCATTTGGTTCTACTTCTAATAGAGAAAAGTTGATTTAAGGAAAACAAAAAAACAAAAAAACAAAAAAACAAACAAACAAACCAAAACACATGTCTGAATTAACCTTACTTGTGTTTATAATTCTTTATATACACATTCAATATTTTATTTTATTCAGTAAAGAGAAGAAAAAAAAGTTTATATATATATATATATATATATATTACAAAGTTTCAAACAGTCCTGCCGTGCTTTTGCCACACTATTCCACAAGCTTGATTCGATACCAGCATGCCCCAGCTTCACCGAAGTTTGTCTGATGTGTTGAATTACGATACTTGCAGGGGAGACTAGATTCCTGCACCTTGTCTGCAGGACTACATGGTGTGAGTCAATGCACGTCATTAGATGGTTTGAGAGTTCAGTGCAACTCTGTGGTGGGCACCACAATGCTCCCATAATGGCACCAGGAAACGCTACATAGTCAGTGACAGGATTGAATCCTGTACACCAGATTCACAGATAGGTCCAATTGCCAGGGCACATGAAGGAAAAATTGTAGGAGTGCGGTTATCACTCACACAACTGAAAACAGCGAATCTTTGTTTGAAGACTTCTTATTTTCTTCTATTTCATTGTTTGAACTTGAAAAGTGGACTTGAAAGCAGCTCAAAAGAATTGAAATCCATCTTGTCAATTCAGACGATGTAAACCAGTCGGTTAGAAAATAACACAAGCGATCAGCAAGTGGAGTTGAACTTAGTAAGGAGTAAAGAAAACATGAGGATAGACTCATACTTGGACAAACGAGGTGAGAGGTGGTTAACTCGTGTTCTCATCAAGCACAACATCTCTGAATAAGTCACTTGGAGTTGGACTTGATGAAAATAAATAAAGATAATAGTAGAGTTTTATCTGTTGTTTCGGTAAAACTCAAAAAGGGCCGACAAAATTTTTACAGCAGTTCCCAAGAGTTGCCTTGGGCATGGCACAATAGGGCGTCCGTTAACAAATGATTCTATGTCAAAGCAATCAGGGCCCCAATTTGATATATTCCAGCAGTGAGCTCAACCCAATTTTACGAGCATATACCCAACCAAAATACAACATACACATCACACTTATCAGAAGACAGGGCAATGTCAAGAGAGTAACAGTTCTATATTCGACATAGTCTACGGACCTGGTCTAAATATACTAATTCAGAAGAGAACAGTACCTTGTGGATGAACTGGAGATTATGTTCATGAAAGTTGTGAGGATCTGGCAAGAGCTAACAAGAGTGAAATCGAATAATATATTACGTCAAAGTATAGCCTCTGCTAGAGAGAAGTGCACCGTAAGTAGACGATGAATATGGCTTGGGTATCGGACGAGTTGGCAATCCCACTGCACCGCAATTTAACAGTGACTTGGTTCACAAGCACAGGGCTGACGTAGGCAGAAACACGTAGAACAAAACATTGCGAATAGATTCCGAAGCTTCCCCATGCAGAGCTCCCTTGGGTTTTGTACTAACCCTAAATTCAGGCTACGCCCGCGCTGTGCAGATGCAATCATCAGAAACAAGTATTAGGTGTTCGTAAAGTGCAGCGCATCCTCTATCCTTAATTTCGTCTTCGGAACAACAGTACAATCCGCACTCGCAGGCGAGCCCTAAGATCGTCCGACTTCACCTCACTTGCAGGTTGAATCGAGTTGAACAGTACACCCTCATTGTACCATCAATAACTACAGCAATCTTGACAGAAGAATGTTCACGCCCGGATATAAGATGATGATGGTGACACACTGACTCAGCGGATGGGGTACTGTACCGCTCAAGAGCTCGGCGATGACGAAACCTTCTGAAAGAGAGAGTACACACAGAAACCCTCACGTGTTTACTGACTCATCGAAAGGTGATTCACAAAAAGCCATCCCTAAGAAGTGCTCTTCACTTTTGAGTGACCCAAGTGCCAATCCTACCATTCCAGATCTCCCAACGGCAAGTATACCAACAAATAAGGTCGAAACTTCTATGAACTCATCTACTGGAAGATATTGTTAAAAAGCAACGTTCGTACAAAAACTGCAAACATTCCTACAGCTTCCAATTCGCTTTTGATCCTGGACCCAGAAAGTATGTCACCCTCATGTCAGAATCTCGCTCTTTTCCGTTGCTTAGGGACCGTAGACCTACAAAGCGTGATTGTTCGCAGTCGAAGTCCAGTCTCAGACCCCCGATGTTACCATCATCCATGCTAACAACACAACGGCGCTGAATCTCTCTCATGGTTCAGCAACTGATACCCACCACCATTCATTCACCACACAATTTGGATTGCAATAAACATAAAAAGAATAAAGAAAACAACTTACACGCCACTCTGCAAATTCTTCATCTCATGTGGTGATCACAAGAGCGGTACATATAGAGCGAAACATCCATGAGTCACGACTGCAAACAACATCTCGTGACCTCCATGGCACTGCATACCATCCCCGCAACAAGCCACCCACAGTTAGAATTAGCATGTGAAATGATGAGCTGAAAACACTCAAAGGGGCAAAAACACTTGAAGAGAAGAGAAAGCACTGCTGATCAAGCTCAGCAAAGCTTAATGGCGGTGAAGGATTCTTCACCATCACCAGCATGACACAAACAAACAAGAGCAACCGGAATCAACATCAGTTTATGTCTCTACACGTTGTGAGTATAATTTCTGCTTTTCTCCTGTAAATTTCTTCACATCACAGTGAGTGATTTCTGATGAAGTTCAGTATTCAGTATGTAGTGTTTTTTTACTATGTTTTTTTCGATTTGACAAAATTCAGTCAGATTATAAGTTGTACTTTGTAAAAAAATTTAAAAATTATTCAGAGTAGCAGAATTTTGTCCTTAAATTAATTTTTTGATGGTTATTTTTATTACTATTATTACTGAAAATAAAACCTAGATATCTCATAAAATGATGTATGGACATATATATATATATATATATATATATATGCATTTAAAAAATTCAATTAGTTTCTTGAATATGTTTGATTATATATATATATATATATATATATATATATATATATCCCATTATG